AGTAGGTTGGTCAAGCCTACAGAGATTCTGAAAATTTGAGAAGAAAAATTGCTCCCTAGATAACTGAGGAAGTAGTAAATATAATACCTGTCTTTAAAAAGGAAAAAAAAAAATACCTGAATAGAAGTCAGTTTATCTTGAGAAAAAATATGGGAAAAGTAGTTTTTAAATATGTTTGTAAGCACCTAAGAAATTATCAACCAAAACCAATTAATCAAAGAATTAATCCAAGAGAAGTAATACCAAGCCAACTTAATTTTCAACTATGATTAGATAAAAATCTTCATTTATAGGGGAGAATCTTGCCAAGGATTTTTGAAATTCATGCCTCTAATATTCTCTTAACCAAGATCAGCAATCAGAATCTTAAGAGAAAGTTTTACTGTATGGAAAGCCATACTTAGGAATTATCAGGTTTTTACTGCTAATCTGAACAGAGGCATTAAGTTCCACAAGAGTCTCTTCAGGGTATCTCCTAATCAAAATTCATTAATAACTTGAATGAAGGAATTGAAAACATGGTTATAAAAGTTGCAGGCAATATGAAACTTGAAATAGTTGCAAGTATTTTGGAGGACTGGATAAAAGATCAAAATAACATTGACAAATGAGAGAAATTATAAAATAAGCAAGAGGCTACTTAACTGGGGTGTTTGTGAAGTATGATGTTTAATCAGGAGTAATCCACAACTATAGAATGCTTATATTTCTTCCATGTATCCAAAGGAGGTAGATCACAAATTGAGCATGAATCAGTATGATCATATTACTGTAAAAAAAAAAAATAAAAAGGAAGTATGCAGAAATGTATGAGTATGCATACATATTTCCACTTTGCAGGAAATATGAAATGTTCCTTCATGTATCAACACTGGTAAAATGTCAGTAAGAGTATTACGACCTTGCTGTGGGCACAAGCAACAAGAGTGTTCAAGTCTAGAAAACCTGAAGGCTTTAAGAGAAGCATTGAAAAACTGGGCTTGTTTAAAGAGCAAAAGTGGTAGGTAGATAGGTAGGTGTGATAATAATTCCTGAATATATGAAACGTTTCTGCAAAGAAAAAGAATAATCTCTTTTTCATGTTAGTGTATAGTTTAAACAAGAATTAATGGGTTCAAATTACAAGGACATTTAAATTGGATACTAGAAAAACTTTCTAATGTAGAGAGTGGAATAGGTTACTTAGGAGATCATAGAATCTCATTTTTTTAAGGTGTCTGAGAACAATCATCTGTCAAGAACAATTTTCCTAACTAAGGCCAGTGGAATACCCATAGTGGTCTGGCATCCTTTAAGGCATATTGTGTACGACTACACATAGGCTCTTACCTCCAAGCCTGCAGTACTTGAATACAAAATTTTACAGAGTTAATCTTGAGAGCCTATGGAAATTATATTTTTACTGCTGTAGTACAGAAGTCCATCACGGCATCACATAAAACTTGAGGAAAATACATTTGTGTGCCTTTAAAGAAGTCAGTTTCATTAGATGGTCAAAGCACTAGAGTTTTAAACTTCATACTGTATGTCTCAGTTTCCTTTTTTTGT